GCAAGGATGCTCGCTTAGCTAGGTTCTCTCGGCACGCAAAGACTGCTGTCCGAGAAGCTGTCAGGGGCCGTTTGCGGCTACAGTGAGTGAACAAGGGACACATAGGCCAGAGGACAACATTCTTTTTTCCTGTAAAGGTTCAAAACGTAGATAGTTTAGGGGTTGTGGGTCATACAATTTCTTGCAGCCACTCAACTCTCCCACTGCCGCACCCGAAGCACCGCTAGACAATACGTAAACAAATGAGTGGGGCTGTCAGCCAATAAAACTTTATAGACATCTAAATTTGACTTTCATGGCTTGCAAAATATTATTTCAACTTCTTTCCAACCACTGAGAAATGTTAAAAACGGCTGGCAGCTCATGAGGCATGCAAGCCCAGGTGGCACCCCGGGTTTGGCCCGCAGGCCGGTCTATCAACTCCTGCTCCATAAAATACCATCTGTGACTATAGGTGACACCTCCTTAGCCCTGCCTTACTATCTGTGCGAGCTAAATTCCCAGGTGACTCCCTTAAAGCCCTACTGGAAAAAAATCTTCCCACCAAGCAGATGTCCTCTTCCCTCCTGATGCAGGCTCGGCGCGACCCCCCCAGGCAGAGCAGAACTACTCCGAAGGGCTCCATGACCGAATCTCCACAGCTCCCGAGGAGCTCTCCTCGGGAACGAGGAGAGGCTGGTGGATTTGAACCAACAACTTTGTAGTTAGCAGCCCAACGCCTTACCTGCTGTGCCACCTAGCTCCTTAAACAATGGACGGGATACTTTAAAAAGGTGACATTTAACTAGCTGAAATGATAATAGTAATAACAGTGGCCTCTCTCTAATGCATTCTTTTTCTCAGCTCGGATCGAGAAAAACCATGGCATCAATGAGATTGTGGTCACCTTGTTTTGCTTGAACAGCTGATACTTTTTCAACGTGTGAGTGTCCCCTGAAAGGTTCAACGTCATTCTAATCTTGAGATTCAAATGTGTAGAATCAGGAGCCTTGGTGGCACAGTGAGCTACAAACTGAGCTGCTAACCACAAGGGCAGCAGTTCGAAGCCACCAGCTATTCCGCACAGAAGACAGATGAGGCTGTCTGCTCCTGTAAGATGTAAAGTCTCAGAAGCCCAAAGAGGCGGTTCTATCCTGTCCTATAGGGTCACTAGGAGTCAGAATCAACTTGATGGCAACAGGTGGGTATAGATTCTACTCTCCTAGATCCCACCTTAATCCCGGAGCAAACTACCTGATACATCAAACCCTTTGGATAGTGTTTCCTTCATCTAATCTACATGTTGTTCAAAACCACCCCACTCCTTCACACACAGATGTGTGCAGCACTGCCCTGTCCACAGTAAGTGTTTGTGAGGCATGCCTAATGCCTACAGCTAAAACCTCCCTTTCCTCACATTGAAGACGCCTTTATTTTTGCAGACGTTCCACTTTCACTCACCTTTTTCTTTCCAACGAGATACCCAGGCACGCAAATGGTTTGTGCTCCTCAGCTAGCCATAAGGAAGGTGGCACAAACCCACTCCACAGCACTGCAGAAGAAAGGTCTGGCTATCCCCTCGTAAAGACTCCAGCCAAGAACTCAGCAATGCTCTTTAGCACATGAGGTTGCCATGAATTGGAATCCACTTGATGGCAACAGGTTTGGATTGTTGTTTGCTTGCTTGCTTTTCCAGTACCTTGGTTCCTCTCTCTAGTGCCCACAACAGTTGTCATTTGAAAAAGGGATCCAATGACACATTACTTTGGGTAAATCTGGTGCATGCGACCTCTTTATGGGGCTGAAAAGCAAGGATGCTACTTTAAGGACTAAGGTGCCTCTGACCCAAGCCATGGAATTTCCTATGGCCTCACCTGCATGTGAGAATTGAACACTGCATAAAGAAGACCAAGAAGATCGACACATTTGAATTATGGTGCTAGCAAAGAACACTGAAGGACAAACATCTATCTTGGAAGAAGTACAGCCCGAATGCGCCTTAGAAGCAAGGATGGTGAGACTTTGTCTCACATCCTTTGAACGTGTCATCAGGAGAGATCAATCCCTGAAGAAGGATATCATGCTTGGTGAAGTAGAGGGTTAGCGTAAAAGAGGAAGCCCCCGACAAGATGGATGGACACAGTGGCTGCGGTATGAGTGCAAACATCAGAGCAATTGTGAGGAGGTTCAGAAGGGGGCTGTTTCATTCTGTCATAAGCAGGGTCACCATGAGTCCAAAGTGAACACACCTGACAACAGCATGGCACCCCACAACCACCACAACATATAATGACCAAGTTACTAAGCTGTACAAAAGGTCCCAGCAGCAAAGCCCCAAAGAGTTATAGTTCATTGGACTATTGCCTCGTTTTTCGCACACGCTTCCACGTTTCTATGCTAAAGAGTTTGATAAAAATCAGCCTTATCTTTCTGTATTCTAGCCCTGATTGCCTAAGGAATTTGTGGTGAGTCAGAAATGAGTATGTTTGTGTACTGCACCTTGCGTTTGGGCTCATGTTGCTCCCTCTGTCCAGCATGACCTCCACCATCTTCCAGGGTGAAATGTGCCCCCTCTTCCCAGGCCTAGGCAGAAGCCTGTGGGAAGTGGCTGGGAGGAGCTGCTGCCTGCCGCCTTTGTGTTCCCAGAGCACTTTATACATCTCCATTAAAGCGCTTATCACATTGCATTGTGGCTTGTTTATGTAGCTGTCTCACCCTGTGCCCTCCATCCCATAAGTCAATAAGCATCTCAAGTTTACAATCACTTCTTCCTCCGCAGTGTTCAGAGTTGCCCCAGACTGTAGTTCTCAGACACATGGAGGACAGTGTGGGCACTAAGGAGTGGCTTGTAAGTGACCTTCCTCAAACACTTCCGTAGCACCTTCAACCTGCCTCAAAAACTAAACACGCTCAGCAAAGATGCAACCTCAAAACAAGCCCCCCAGGGTCCTCTCACAACAAGACAGACATTCCTAAACTGCTCTTCCTAGGAATTCTGGCAGCGACACTAGGGAGAGGCAGGCTTCTCTTTATACCACAAAATGAAAGACTTACAAGGCAGCTCAGTTTTCAAAGTACCTTTGCCCTGTCTTCTTTCATTCATTTCTATTTTAATCCACACATCTCTGAGAGCTAAAGCAGAGAGTCCTAGCTCCAATGTTCAAACACTCAAGGAAATGACAATGGCAGGGCCAAGATCAGAACTGGTGACAGCTCTGGGCCTACCACCTTCAGCTGTTGATCTAACCATCTCCTGACTTCCACTCATGCTAAGCACTATATTTATGGAGGGGTCTCCCTCTCCACCCTCCCCCTGGTAGGTCTCTTTTCCCCAAAATGAATGGTAGCATTAGATTATAGCATCATGCTCTAAAAATCTATTTCAAACACAGCCATTAGGGCAATACACATTATATGTGACCGAGTCAAATACACGGCCCTTGAGTTCGTATCGCTGTATGATTTGGTCACAAGTACTGATTGACGAAAGGGCTTCCAGTGCACATGGGCTGTTCAAAAATGGCACGCCAGGCATTTCTGCAAATAGAAATATGTCATCTGTGAGCTAAAAACTTCTCTCAGGAAAAAGCATGACTATTTATAGTTTCAGTGCAAGGGCTTGCTTTTTCTATTTTTTTACAATTCATCTTTCTGACACTATTAAATTCAGATTACCTATCACATTAGCAGACTCTTTCCTTAAATATACTTTAGCTCTTCGTGCATAATTCTATATGATTTAACCAGCACTTCAATTCTCAGATTGTTTACTACATGCCACGTCTCTAAAGTCAATACATATCTTTTTGACATAAATAGGGCACTACCTGCCCCCTCCAAAAAAAATTCTTGCTACTGTGTGATAATGAAAGTCAATATTATTTCTCAGATATATTAAGTTATTCAAGTGAGCCACATTTTGCTTTTCTCCAATTATTTAAATTTTTTTCAACAAAGGCCTATAATCGTAGAGTATGTGGATCATGTCACATTTAAGATTTTCAAGTTGTATCTGGTTACGAATCTGCTAATTGCAGAAATTTTCAATATGGCAGAGCGCAAAATATTTCACACAAGTGCAAATAGAGAAGCCAGGCAGCTAGCTGCAGGTTCGTGAATCACTGCCCAACTCAGAAATCCTGAGGCAGTTCGTTCTGTGAGGCTTCCTGCTCAGTTCTTGAAAGTTTGCAGGCATCACCTTTTAATCAGAGTAATAAACTCTAATTGCTAACACATTGTGTAATGTTTACTGCGAAACCTACAATCTGGACAAACAGAATATTATGCTGTCAGAACCGCAAAAGCAACTGCAGTCTGCTGTGAACACACAGCATCCCCCTGACAGGGCTGTTTGGAGTTTGAATGTTTTATGGTTTTAATTGTTTTCGAGTAAGAGCCCCCCTCCCACGCGCCCCACGAGAGGAAGGTATTAAGACGGCACAGCCTCCCGCGTGACCTTCCAAGCACAGACCTTCAGCGAGTGGCTGCGGGGGCAGCACTGTGATTTTCAGTGAGGGAACTTGACAAGTCTACCGAGTCCCTCACACTCTGCTTTCAGGAACAACCTGGGGGGTGGGGGGGGATGGTTACGCTGCACCTGCCTCCTCCCTTGTCCCCACCTCCAAACTTAGATGGCATCTACCCCTAATGATCTGACGAGCCGGAGGACGTGATGCCCGTCCTTCGGTCCAGTGGTACCAAGCGGAAATAAACCCCCATCCAGGACGCGTGGAGGCTGCAGTCCCGGGGAGGCGGGGGGCGAGGAGAAAGGGCAGGAGGGGTGGGGGGCGGATTGCAGGGGACGGTGCCGCCCCCGCCCCCCACCTGGTCTCCACCTGGAGTAAGCATCTCCCGCAGGTAGCGCCCCAGGAGAGCCTGCGGTCGGTGTCCCCGGCACCCCCTCCCCCGCTGCGGGGACCCCGGCCGGCTCTTCAGCGCGCCGCGCTCGCGGCACGGGGCTGCGGCATCGGGCGGGGGCAGCGCGGCAGAGACGGGTGCCCGGCCGGGGCCCTGCCCGCTACCTTTTATCCAGGCAGGCGATCCACTCGGCCGAGGAGGAGGAATGGGTGGCGTGCGCAGCGACCATGGTGGGCAGCGGCGCGCGGTGTCCCCGGCGGCGGCGACCTCCC